AATCTGCCCGGAGGTGGGGTCGTCTGTAATTTTTTTTAGTAAACTCAGATAATTGCCGGGGCGGGCGTTTGGGCAAGCGGGCACCGGGAAAATAGTTTGCTGATCAAATGCTCGAATAACTATCGCGATTTTTTTGTAGATAAGTTGTGGCGCAGTGGCCGCTTTCTCGCGCATCTTCCGCGAGAATATGCAAAGTTGTTGAGGACCGCACGATCCTTTTTGAAGGACCGCACAGCCCGTAGTTAACTTCTGCTGAGAGAAAGTACCCCAAATTCGAGTAATTGAACCATCGACGACACCTCTGTTATGTAGAGTGCTACCTTTGCTCGGCGTATGTCCGAGTCCAAGCGCCTGCTGAATGTTTGGCCCGCGCTCGCTGAAAGAGATTATTTGACGAGCTCTTGCAGAAAATTTTGTATTGCCACCCGCTGGCAGGATACGAAAGTACCGCTCGTTGAATTAGCGAAAAGCGCGAGTTTGCGGATTGCCTGCCTCGGGCGATTGTCTGAGGAAGATGGTGAATATTGATGCTGTATAATTAGAAGAGCCACTGAGAAGTACTCGCTTATTCCTGCCATCTCTGTCTATTCTGATTCGATTCTGAAATTTTTATCTTCACACCACTCGAGTTGATGGGCGGAGCACTTGGGCCGCTTTATCCTCCGAAGTCATTTTTGTTTCGGAATTCATCCTTTGTAATGAAACTTTGGGTCGCATGCATTAACATCCCCGTCGGGGAGGGGATCGCAGTCTAAAAGACAGATTTATGTCCTGAGGTTCCAAACATCTGAATTTTACGCTGTTTACCTATCCGTAAGTATCCTACTATTTTCACTACATATCGAACAGGAGCGAGAAGTTGTACAAGCTGCATTCTCCAGCTTTTTGTATGGTTCCTTGATGAACTAAAGCGCTCAACCGCCTTCAAAGTTACTTTTCTTTCCTCCAAGTTGATGACATTCCAAAGTTGTACTGGCCAACAGTGCTAAGCATATTTTGGTAAAAACAAACGGTTTTTTAACAGAAACATGCTTAGTACCGGGTTAGATGATCGGTGCAACTTTGAAATGATTTCATCAGTTACAAAAAAAAACAAATTTGAAGAAAAGAAGCTTGGCCGGCGGGGATTATCTGAGGATTATATAAAAAGCCTGGAGAATGCGGCTTTTGCAAGCTCCTATCCAAGGTGTTTGTAGTGAAGAGTAGCAGGAATACTTACGGATAGATAAACAGTGTAAATTTTGGATATCCAAAGCATCAGAATATGAAGCTTCGTTCTAAGCTGCGACTCCCTCCGATTGTAGGGGAGTTAATGCATGCCGCCCTTGAGCGATCACTTTGTTAAGGGCTCCGCTATCATACAGCATCAACATCTCTCTATTCTAAATTTGGGTGAACGGTGCTTTAAGGCTACGAGATACAAAGGAGCTGTTTGAGCATTGTAATGTGTGCAACTCTGACGTGGTTTTGGGCAAACAAAGGCTGGATTCATACTGATCTCGAAGTTCCGGAACAGTTCCAGCACAGTTTTTGCATTGTGCTGGAACTGTGCCAGAACTGTGCTGCATGCGCTGCAGCTGCCCGCATAGGTTTTCAGCTGCGCGAAGTGACAATTTTTGATTTTCTTCAACGGTTTTGATTGTAAACTTCGCCCCGTTTTCGTCTCATTCTCGCATCTTGCTTTTTTTTGTGATGTAGAGAATTACGAACTCAGAGCGGGATTCGCGAATGAAACCTTCACTTCATATCTTGCGTAAAATATTTATTTTTCTTTAAGCGCCGCGCTTTGGTAATTTTTCCATTGAACGCTTCTTTTGTGTTCCAAAAGTCGCTGCATACTCGATATATCGATTAGAGGACTGATACAACCATCACGATTGCGGATCGCGAATTGTTCTTTGTGTCTACATAATGTTGAATTTTGGGTGTTTGAGCCCCATTTCTTTTCAAAATTTTTCTGCTTGCTTTTTCGTTTTTGATACTGTTCCGCTTCTGTTGAAAAATAACCCTGAACTTGGAGAAATGTACACGAATGGAAGCGGTATCATTTTGACAGTTTTCAGGTAATGCACATAAGCACTCTCACTCATTCTTGTAGCTCTCAAGTTTGGGACTTTTTCAATCACAAGAGCAAGCGAGCCACAAGAGTGATTCAAAAAGGAGCAAAATTTACAATGAAACCCGTAGAAGAAAGTCAAAAATTGTTATTCCGCGGCCGACTGCAGCGCCTGTGGTGCAGTCCCAGCACAGTCATAGCACAATGCGAGAACGTGCTGGACCTGTTTTGGAACTTTGGGATCATTATGAACCCAGCCAAAAGCATAGCGCGAGTGCGCGAGTACGCGCAGTGACGACCACACGCTTGTCTTTGAAACATATGAGTGAGTATGGAAATGTTTTTATGTACAATAAAGTCGATACTCCATTTTTTGCTTGCCTTGTCCAGCCGCAAACCGCCCTATCGTATTCAGCCAACTAACCTAGCAATCAAATTTATCTTGCCATAAATGGACCCCATTGAAAAAGCATCGCAGAGCAGTTTCTCGAGTGTCAAACTAGTAAAGCTAGCAATTGAAATCACACTATCTTTTGGAAGACTAGACAGCTAGCGGATGTACTATGTGTACAACTGCTCGTTATGAAAAGGTTCTTTCATGTGAGAACGGTAACTTTGAACGGGGAATAGTTGCAGAAGAGCAAATGTTGATTCGTACATTACTAGATTGCGGTTCGGTTAAGATAATGACCACATGAGCTACATGCAATTGAAACTCTTGTCAGATCTACATGAAACCTTGCACAAATATCGAAAGATGCATTCCTTTTGGCTTCGTTTTCGCAAGAAATTTGTCTATTCAATAACTTTTTGCTAAACAAATTCAAATTATGCAAAAAGTCTAAATACAACTCACTCTTCTTTGTGCGTAGTAAGCTTACTAATGTCAACTTACATGTGGTGGAGCGATTTATGCAAAATCGTTGCTTGGAACGTTGACTGTAACTCGCTTTATGAACTTTGTAACGGACAGATATAAAACAGAAGAACTTAGCGTAACATCACTGTAAAGATTAAGTTTACTCCAATTGAAGTTTTCGTTTGAGTTTTTGGTTTTGAGTAATTTCATCCTTTTCTTTATTTGCATCATATTGAGAGTGGGCTATGAATTTTCTTTTTGCAGTACAATTTTATCTTTCAAGAAACCAGTGCTCACTGTTTGTTCTCATTGTTTGTTGCAATCCATTACTACCATGTTATCCTCGAGTCATTTGTAACTTAATATATGTATTGCACATAATGCGCCTTACCTGACGAACTTGCAAGATTAGGACCTGCTCATTTCCAGTAATTTCTCTTTGTTCCCTTAGCTCTTTTGATTTGATGGTTACGTATTAGTTAGCACAACACATCCACAGTTTGTTACGCTAGAAAAGGTTTCAGTGAAGAATTACTAGTAAGGTTGCCGTCGGCTGTCGTGCATAGTGTGCACACTCAGATATTAAGTTACAAATGACTCGAGGGTAGACTGATACGTTCGTTGGGCGCATTACTGAATGCATAGTTTTAGATCGTCAAGATCAGTTCAGAAGTAGTACTTCCTGTCGAAATACACCTGCATACACATAGACAACAAACATTCAACTTTGAATAGATTTTTAGTTTAAATCTATTGAGCCACTGGGTCTCTTTGATGAAGTAAAGTAAGTCTCAACAGCTAGATGGAATACAAATAATTCCAGAAATGATGATGATGACGACGGAGGCCGTACAGTTTTCGAAACATTCAACGCACCAGCTAGGCCGGCGGTAGTAACTGAAGAGAAGGCGCACATCAAGTGGAAGGTTGCTTTATTTCGATTTTGCATGCTCTCAGCTCATTTCTTACTTGTTTTAGTATCCACAAGAAGGACAAAAAGATGAGGTTGTTTGCCACATTTTGAGATACTAAAGTAATACCAACACGATTTGATTTAAGCTTTCCTTTTCTAGCTTATACAAAAGAAGAAGAACCGATTGGAGGAAGATAAAATAGAGGAGGTTTTGGTTCTTAAGGTCTTGTCAGAAATAGAGAGATATCGACTTAAGTCTCTATTGACCAAGAGCAGCCATGGCAGCTCAGTTTTAATATCTGAGACTAGAGGTGCATGTGTGCTTGCAAAACTTCTCATCAGGAGCGGTATGCATCAATCTGTTTTTTGAAAGCGGGCGATCATTTTCTATTGAAATTGAGAAGATTCATGCATACCGCCCCAGGTCTTTACGTTTTCTAGAGCAGCGCTCCTGCTAAGTTTGAGTGTCCGGTATGATAAAGTTTTGGACCATAACCCGCAGAGTAGCTTTACTCTCGCGAATCAGCCTTGGTGTTTTGTTAAAAGCACTGACTGTAGAATATTCAGATTGATGACATGGATAAAATCATGGAAGACATACAAAAAAGCCAAGATTTTCAGACTGCCAGAAATGTAAACATAGTACTTGTATAAAGTTATCTGCATAGTCATGAATGAAAAATAGCAGATTATGAAACAACTGAGACGGAGCAATATACTTGAGAAAGCTGTAAAAGAGAAAGATCTACCCGTCCTGCAACAATTTTTCAAAAAAGACATGATCAATCCCACCAAAGAGGTGAGCTTTCGAAATAAAAAAGAACTAGGAAAAAACTAGGTCAGCTTACAGATTATCGATATAATTGATGATGCAATGGAATACTGTTTTGAAGAACTAACACTTCATCAAGATTTGCACGACTTTATTATAGAAGAAGACATGAGACAGTTTCTTTTGGACAAGGAAAAGGTTAGATATCTCAAGCTTTTCGTGTAGCAAAGGCGTTTTTAGGCTAAGCAGTGCATGCTGGATGTTCTTCTTGCTAATCCTGAGTTTATTCCGCTCATGTGGGGAGGGGAAGTAGTTGTGAATCCAGGTTGTTAATTTTCTTCGCTAAAATAAAAACGTCAATTACCAAAGAAAAGCACCAGTACCTTTATTCTTTTCAGAACAAGAAATCGAACTCAAACCTCTGAAAGTCAAAAGCGTAAGTTGGCTGGGCGTAATGCTATCTGAACAATGAAGCGTTCGTGAATTTGCAGAAAGGATTTGTATCCCCATGGAATCGGCTAGTGGAGAAGACAGTACCTAAAAGAGTTAGCATTCCTTTTTAAAGTACAATTTCTTTCGGATTGTTATTGCTCTCACAGAAGAGTTAAATATCGTTTTGAACATAACTATTGAAAGAGTACAGGGTGAAGTATGAATTAAAGAATGTCCCTAATCCTGCATCAAACAGTTCAAATCTCAAATAACAAGTTCTATCTTTAACTCAGAAACATTCTGTCCAAGATCTTGGCAATCATATTTGGTAATGTTTTCCTTTCGCCCTAATCACAGGCATTTTTTACGCGAGTTATTAGGGTGAGATCATTTTTTAATGGCTCCACTAGATTTGCATTAGTTGTCAGTTCTCGGAAAAGGAATCCATGGATTCTGGGTTTGAGCAGTAAAAAATTGTTGGCTTTTTCCCACCACTCGAGTGGTAGAGAAAACAGTTAATCATGTCTAGTTTTTCAAAAAGCTTTGAAACAAGCATTTTTCAACTTCGGAATCCAACCATAATGGGCTAAAAACGTCGGAGGAGAAGGCAATTGCCATTGAAAAACAAAAAAAAAGATAAAGACGGTTGAATTTTTTCTTGAAAGCCGTCACACTTCATGTAGATCGCTTTCACTTTTCGGTGAAATAGGCAAGACATGTTTTAATGCACAAGTATTTTAGAAAGGAAAAACGCCATCGCGAGAGCTGGCAGCGCAGACAGTTGGGAGTGGAAATCGCAAGGCATCAGCTTTACTTTTGGGTAAAAAAGGCAAAAGATGTTTCAATGCAAGAGTGTTGTAGAAAACGCCATCACGAGAGCTAGCAGCACAGACAGTTGAAAGTGGAAAGCGCAAGGCATCAGCTCTTCGAAGAATCAGAAGTTATGATGCAGTACAAAAAAGTTGTAGTGGAGAATCTTTCAAAAGCAGTGCGGAGCGAAATGTTGGCTCACGTGATTCTGATAAAAAGGGATTATCGGATAGCGAAGAAAGGAGCAAAAGTTCCGAGTCAAGAAAGAAAGAGGAGATGGACCAGGTTTCAAAAGATATGACTAAAAGAAAGGTGCGTTTTATGGAATGCCTCTATATCATATTATTGCTTCGATTGTACAAAGTACGACCTATGTCAGTTTATCTCCTGGAGTTACTTTTACAGAGAAAGTGCTTCGATGTTTCACGTAAAAGTAGCTTTGACAATACACATCTTTTCCGTGCACATAGAGAGTCGTTCTTGACAAAACTTGTCAATTGAGTGCATACCATAAGTTTGCAATACGTAGCGCTAAATTCATCGCTCATCTAACTAAAGACGAGATTGATTAGAGTCGAACGTATGGACATCCAGGTTGCAAAAGGGAGCGTAGCTCTTAAGAAAACCTTATTTGCGAAGCCCCGAACAGGGCTCGGCATGAGTGCGTTTCTAAAGTTCTTGAAAAAAGTCCCCCTTGACTTTCAGCCCTGTATGTAAAGAACCCTCAGAAAACGAAACGTCGCAATTTCTGGCCACAAAAACGATATCCCCTTTTCTTTTTCGCCACAAAACGAAGTTCAGCCTGCTTCCATACGATCTACGTCCCGGCACTGTCCGGGACTTCTGGACACTGTCATCCATTCTCATTTCTACCACCCTTTATATGACTATCAGTGCGTCACCTCTGCTTCGCAAAGGCTCGCACTGGCTCTATTATCTAGGCCCTACTCAATTCTCGCATAATGATGGCATTGGAACTCACCGAGCAAGGCCATCTATCGCGAACAAAATGTAAACAACTACTCATTCTGAAAGCTTTTTGTGTGAAGTCGGTGATTTCGCGTGGATGAGACTTTTTGCAGGAGAACAAACACAAATTTTCATAGGTTTTTGATTTTCCCATGGTGTTGACAGTTGCATTAAGAACAGCAGTCACCGTGAGCTACATCTTTATGCAAAAATCTCGACAAATGCTCTGATAAAACCTTGGCAAGTTGGCCATTTACGCAATCAAGACTTTTTGGCGCCGTTTTTGTAAAGTAACGAACTTTTGATCACTTTTTTGAGCTTAAGGTTATGGCTTGCACATTTACTTGGCGTAGACATCCACTACTCTGCAAGAAGTGGAACTACGGACCCCATTTTGCGGCCCAAATGCAAAGTGGATCCGTCCGACGCGCATTTTCTGAGGGATCCACTCAACGAATCTGCTCATGCTTTTGCATGTTGGACTTTTATGCGGATAGCATGCGCTGCGCAAAATTTGAGGCCAGGAGGTTGGCTGGAACACGCTACGATTACGATTTTCGTAACAGACACACAGACACACAAAGTCATGTAAACACCCTTAGCCCGTTATTATAAGTCATGATACTGTACAGTGGCACATTTGGCACATTTCTACTTGTGGGTTATCCAAATCTGGTATACATTTGTTTCTATCAGAAACGCGCTTACCCCTGTTTTGTTAGATACCCAGTACAACTTAGGAATGCTCTCATTGATTAAGCAAGAGGAATGACATTAAAATGCCGTCCTCCAGCGGTCGTTGGTGATCATACAAATGCAGAGAAATACGGCTCATACAAAATGCGTTTCTGTTCAATAAGCTTATAGTAAAAAGTGTAAACACTTGAAAACGGATAAACAGCGAAATTTTAGAAAGTTGGGGTTTGAGGACATAAAGTTTTCTCCTACTATTCTCTCCATTGCGGGAAATGTTCATGCGTTTGGCCTTTCGTAATTTAAATGGGCTTTCTGAAGATACCGTAAAAAAATAATGTCTTAAAAAAAGGCGGCCCTTTTTTGAGCTGTCATCAGTGATTGTAACTTTTGACGTTCATAAACTCTCGAAAGCAAAGTCATTTTTGCGAAAAACAGTGCCGAAGGCTGTTTTTATCATCAAAGTATCCTACTAAACACCTGAGGGTCTGTTTCTGTTGTGTAAGTGAGGTGTGTCAGTGTGAAAATGCCTGTCACGAAAGTCGCAGAAGGAGTCTCACAAGGAATAGCGTGCGTCCATTTTCTTATGACGCATGCACTGCATAATGCAGCCCAGCATGTAACGTGCCGAACACAAGGATTCGTGGCGCAAATCGTTGAAAAATTGGCGCCAAGCGGCTCCACATGAGCATTGGCCCGCAAAAGTGGACCTGTGCAACGACTTTATGCCAGGGCTCGGCACGAGGTGGCTAGTTGAAAATGCAAAAAACGAAGTCCCCCTTGACTTTTGCGAATTTTTACGAAGTCCCCTTTGACCCTAGACCAGGCATGCACGAGGTGGCGTCCCGAAATTTCAAAAAAATGAAGTCCCTTTTGACTTTAATGAAAATTAGGACATCCGCCACGAGATATTCGAACAGAAATTACATGAAAGGGAACGGAACAAAGCAACAGCAGAAAAAAAAGAATTATCGAACGCACACGATTATATTCATATTCTCCAAAATGGTGGCATAATGTGTCCATCGTGCAGCAATACGCTCCCAGAGCAGCCTTTCCGCGGCCATTCAAAATTTCCAAGGGCCTATAACTAAGCGGGGAGAAGGGGGTTTGAGGCGGTTTAGGAACCAGTTTGTAGAGTTTGGGATGTAGATGGAAAGTATGTAAAGAAAGTAGAAAAATTATGTGAGTGAGGAAAAATTTATGATTTTTTCTTTCCTAAGCCACCTCGGGTGGCTATCCAGGTGGCTTGAAAGCCACCTAACTCCGAAAAAAGTTGAGCACGCCTTTAGTTCACATAATTTTTTCATAATTTTTCACACTTAGTCCTAACTCCCCATTGCCCATCTACAGACCTATTTTGGTGTCATTTCATCTTCACTACGCTGTAAAAAACCTTTTGTTTATTTGCTAGCGGCATGCCGGCAGCGTGCCGGCCGCAGATCGAAAGACAACGTTATGCTTTTCCCCAAAAACGATATCCAGCTTGCTTGCTAAGCCACCTGTGCCGTGCCCTGCTTTATGCAAAGCTATGGATATGATTGAGAAATAGACTTGCAGACTTTGGACTTGGGCGCAAAAAGTGGGCAAAAAGCATGAGAATGCATGCAAAATACGCGAAATCGGCGCCAAAAAGGAACGCGTGCTAGGTGATCGATTTATCAGACTTTTGCCTGTGAATCTCAAAGATTGAGATAGAGATCAGAGTAGTAGCTCAGACAGTCGAAGGGATACCTCCGGCGGGGAAATGGCGCGAGTCTGCCACTTCGCGCTCTAAAGCGCTCCGGAGCCCTGCCATTTCACGCATTTTTGTGCTCCGGGGCTCTCCCAAAACTGGTGCATCCCATTCGTTCACCGTGACGTCATCGTGACGTCACGGTTACGTCACAAGCAGGCGAATGGGACCCCTCTTCGGGACGCGCAAATCTCTGCTCCGGAGGTGCGCCAGATTTGGGAGAGCCTCGGAGCACAAAAATGCGTGAAATGGCAGGGCTCCGAAGCGCTTTAGAGCGCGAAGTGGCAGACTCGCGCCATTTCTCCGCCGGAGGTATCCCTTTGACTGTGGTCTGAGAGCTCACGATAGTCATTGTCCCTATGGAGACTATAATTTTAATCGTATGTTCAGTGACTGATTCAAATTCGAATTTGTTCTTCTGTAGAAATGTTCTTCCAAAGTCAAAATTTACATGAAATAAAATACGAAATAGCTTGTTGTTTATAACTCATTCGCGATGGTCAGCAACGCATGATAAGTTGCAAAGGCATCACTAAAGCACGAGCATGGCAGATAGATGATAGAACTAGTGCGCAATTTGCAAATGGATGTGACGACGGGTATAGCAATAAGTGAGTAATAGGTAATTAGATGTGTACTCTGTGTAATCGGCTTCTCCACAAAACTTTAATAAGCTTCTATATATGATTGACTTTAATTGAGACACTGTTTTCTCATTTTCGGCTGCTAAGATATTGGCGGTGGGTTAAATGTACGGGCTATCTCCTTCTTCAGTGCTCACTATACTTGAAAAACTTCGACGTGCGCATTGAGTCGAAAAGTTGAGTTGAAAAGTATTGTTTTGACCTCTGCTAAGACGCTTAACTACCACAAACAATAATACGAAAAAAAGATGTTTTTTATTAGGTTGTCTCATAATTAATGCACGTTTTTCTAACCTCTTGGAAAAGCTGACTCTCAAAGAAAAACCATTTTTCTCCAGAACCCTTTATAGCTCATGAAAGCCCGATTCTTCTAGTTTCTAATATGTGCTTTCGTCTTCGCAAGTCTTTGAGCAAACCGGGATTCCTTGCCTCCAAAGACAAGTGACTAAAACATGAAATTCTTTGCTTTTACTTTTCTTGCTCTAAATTCATGAAAAGCAGACAAATTTTCTTCAAAAAGTACGCATAACAATTGCGAAATTTTGTGCTACAAAACTCTTATCAGCTTGATTTCAAAGAAATCCTGAGCCAAAAATCTTATCTCAAACTTGGGTGGTCGCTGAGGCCCGTCCATGCTGCATGAAAATTTCAGACAAAAAGCGACTGTGATTTCACAACGTCCATCTAGAGTGGACCTAGTACAACTAATGCTAAGAACACGGCAGCAATTTTTCTTCTTTTTGAAAAGAAAAAACTTCAAAAATTCCATAAAGGCAGTTTTGGAATTTCCGAAACCTGAGAAAAGTGGGTACTTCTGATTTTCTTGCAAAATTTCTCACAGAAAAATGCCGTAAAAACCAAATCTTACTCTATTGCACAACCGACCATCGGCTATAATGAGCAAAGTTCGCGCGGTCTTAGTACATTTGAGAACAAGTTAAGCTCTCTCAAAGTATAGGTTTCTGAAAAAAATGTTCAGATAATCTTCGGGCTAAAAAACTTTCTCAGAAAGGCTACGATCTAACAAAAGCATGCGTTATATAGTTGAATGTTTGCTGTTTGTAGTAATTTTATTGTGCTTGAAAAATGGCTTTGAAAAAAATTATCTTAATCAAAAGTTGAATTCTAAAACACCTTTAAATGAGTGTCAATGCCTTGCGTGGACGAAATCTCACGATAAACGTCGTCTAGCAATCTGGTAGAGCTCTAAACTTACAACACCATCAGTCGAGCCGTATCCAGTCGCATAGCAATCCAAATCATCTGCGAAGCAGAATAATGAGATATTTTGATTTATCGGGAGTGGTGGCCTGTGAATGGGGTTGCTTATGCTTTGCATGTCTTTTGTGAGCGTGCTGTTGATCAATTTCCCAGCATGGGCGTGGGAAAGGCGGAGCTTCAATCACTAGAAAGCACGATCGCGAAAGAAACGCAGAGCTAGGCGAGGCGGCCGCGCTATAGTGAGCCCCACCCACCAGCCGCCACTCCCAATGAATCAAAGTGTAGAATTTGGTTCCTTGCTTTCTCAGGCAGCCTCGAAAGCACCTAGATAATTGATACGTGGATATCCAGCTGTATGCACTCAAACTTAACTTCATGGACATGTTTTCGGAATTATTTGAGCTCAAGCACAGCTGAGTTCAAGAACAAACTTTTCAGTCACGAAGGCAGCAGAGGACAACGAAAACTCACAGGAGACATAGCTCAACAGCAATTTCAGCTGCACTTCTGGGAAAAGCTGATGAAAGAACTTCGTCAGCTGAAACTAAGTTATCAGGTATGTCAAAGAATCCTGCGGGGAATACGTAAGTTATACTGCAAGGCCCTCGCTGCCATATCTCGTGATGGCGGCGCGCGCAACGAGCTATATTGCCGTTCTCGCCCATTCTGCACCGATGCGCATGAGCCATGAGCGCGAATACAGCCCCGTCTAGTTTCGTCGCGTCGCAATGTCCACGATGTTGTAAATTTACAAAAAGTTACACAAAAATATTTGTAAAAACATGCCCGTCTAGTAAGTGCAGCAACTCCACCATACCGCGGTAAGGTGTAAAATAAAAAGGAGCTCGTTCAATGCCTTCTATTTTAGTTTCGTGTTCGTTTTCCAAAACCAAAATGAAAGAGTATTGAAATGAAAAAATACATTGATGTTTAACGTGACGATTATCACGTCACGAAAATGATCACATTTTTATATACAAATCCAAATTAGGCCCTATAAAGTTTTAACCGATGTAAAACGAGTCACTTTACGGCAATATTTTTCGGCTTCTACAGCAGTAGTAAGGAGTGGTTCTGAGAATCTGATGACTTAGCACTTTCTCTCGCCTTTCTCTATTCTCAGTCGCAACCTCCTTGTGTAATCAATGACAAAAGTTTTTGCAGTCAAATATTGGGCCAATCTCACCTCATCCAAAGTTTCTAAGCCAACAGATAATGATAAGTGCTTAACAGGTGAAAAATCATAAAAATCCAAATAAGTCGTACGTAATATGATCAAAACGGCGACGAAAATCTACAGCGGTGAAGAGGAAAGGCAGAAGTCACTGAAGCTGGCAGCCGAAATAATAGCCTCGAATGGATATGTTATGCGACCCAGATGTTCAAAGAGAAAAACTGTAAAGACAAGCGAACAAACTACCAATAGAGTACCGTTGTGCTTGCCTTTTATCTCCGAAAAGGTCACTGCCGCAGTCAAACAGTGTCTGATACAAGCACAGCTTGAGAAAGATGTCGTCTTAGTTAACATTCCGCGAGACAACATTAGAAAGCTGTTAATACGCAATAGATTGTACGATAAAACTTGTATCACAAGAGATTGCGTTGTGTGCCCATACGGACAATTCGGAGATTGTGCGAAATCTGGTGTTGTGTATCAAATCGAATGAACGAAATGCTCTGCCATATATATCGGTGAAACTGGCCGGCCACTGGGTGTGCGCGTCAACGAACATCTAGCTAACAAAAAGAGGCAAAGCTTGATTAGTCCACTGGGAAAGCATAGAATGATCGAACATAACGGTGTTGATTACGATGTCAGGTGCAAAATCTTGGCCCACGAACACCAAATTTCTGCACGAAAAGCCTTGGAAGGCTCCCATATTCTTGCTCGCGAGCCCAAACTAAATAGCAAGAATGAGAAATTATCTATAACTAGTGACTTGATGCCGTATCTGTCGTACTGTAAACTATAAGATTGTGTGTTCTACTTAAGCAGCTCCACAGTAGCTTGGGTACTCATTTGACACCGCACTCGACCAAGCACATCCGGAGCGGCTGTTAGCTACAACATCGGTGATATACTTGGTGGGTGACCATCGCCCCCAAACTCCCTGCTTCCACTCAAGACGAATCGAGTGGCAAGTCGGTGGAGATATTTGGCGGCAGAGATTGTGTATCAATGTGATTGACGCCTTTTCAGCCCCTGAAGACGAGGTCTTGCCGAAACGTCGGGCAATAAAGTATATCATCTATAACAACCTGTACGGCATAATATAATAATTAAAATTATTCACTTGCAAGAACATGCCAAGGTTCAAAGACAAGAGGACTTACAACATACAAACAAGCTTTTTTGCAAGAATTTAAAATTATTGGAGTAGGTTAGGCCCATGTAAGGAGAATAGAAGCAAAAATAAGGAGCGTAAAGAACTTTAAAACATATCTGTTACAAGGTAGTCAGAATTATCATTGTAGCGGGAAACCGAGCGGGTTCCAAAATGAGCGCGCCTGCAATCTAGCACCTTTGAGATTACTGGTTCACTGCTGACAAATTGATGAAGTAAGTGCATGATTGGGCGAAAACAAACATGGAACAAAGTAAAAGAGAAGGAAACTGAAAAACATTGGAGTTTTAAATTCATACGAGTCTTTCGTTCTAAAATGAAGAAAAACGATCATGAAACCGAATAAAAAATGAAAAACTAAACAAGTTTTTTCCTACTTTTCACATCATGGCGGTGCGGCAGACCACGCCGCAGTTTGAAACCTGAACAAGCAGTTCTTCTGAAGATTTTTTTTAATCTTTCCGTAAAAGTTGCGGGATCGTGGCTCGACGTCGCGACGAAACTGGACGAGGCTGCATCAGCTTCGTTGTATGGCGCACCGGTGCAAAGCGGGTGCGGATTACAAGACAGCTCTGCATGCGCGCCGACGACCCCCGAGCTATGGCTGCGAGGGTCTTGCAGTATAAGGCCACGCCGCTTTTTGAGGACACAAGTGATGGAATTTCAGGCGAGCAAAAAAGTCATACAAGGGATGTCAGAAAACACTCTACTTTAGCCAGACCGAGAAGCAGGAGCAGAAGCGAAAGGCCTGCATAGGTACGTTTCAGGCTGCTTATTGAGTTTAAATAGGTTCAAAACTATGACTCAATTCGAGATCTGAATGTAATTTTCAGGGTCTTCAGCATGAGTTAAGATTAAGATGATATCGAAATATCTCTAACAACATTCTCTAATAGAAAATTTAATTATTCAATGTATTCGAAATAAAAATGAAAATTTTCCATCGTCATAGCACTGGTTGCAAAGTAATTGGCACATAAAGCCTTAACTCATTCTACTTCTTCGAACAATCAATGACACAGACATTATCATTAAATGCACACTGCTAAATTATTGCGTCTTGCGTAAATTGCTGCATATTGTAAGAATCAGACTACACAATTGCACAGGAGTTTACAAGGGTATGTATACAATGTTCAGTCGCTAATATCTCTATTTTCACGATGTCTTTTAGAGAGCTTTAGGTACTGTTCTGTAGAGCTAGCTTCCACTTAGATTCGCTCACTATGTAGGGTTACGGTAGTAAGTTTGGAAGAATGTTTTAAACGTTGACACCCTGCTGCCACTGAGCAAAGCAAACTTCTGAAAATCATGCACTAAACTGATCAAAGCGCTATTTCAGAATATAAATTTCTTTACTGAAATGTTTTGTGTTTGGGATACGCAAAGTATACCGTAACAATACCGTAACAACTATTTCCTCTGTGTTTTTTCGCAATGTTAAATCATTTATATGCTTTACAAACTTCCGAAATCCTGAGCAGTGGAACAGCGGCTTGAAAACCTTGTAAATGCTAAGATATTTATTCAAAAATCCGTTGTTCTCTGAAAAGGCCACTAATTCACAAAGCGTAAGCTGGAAGTTTCTATCGTAACCCTACGGTAATCAGGAGGGATCCGTGGTGTGCTCTACTCTTTAAATCTAACGAATAAAATGATTAGTTGAAGTTGCCTTTCAAGATGGAACGTAAACTATCTGAGAGGATATGAAACGCTGATTGAATTCTTTATCTCACGATCAGGAGCTATTTGGGCAAGAAATCATGTCATCGTAGCAAAAATTCAAGTGCGCAATTAGTGTAAAATCGTTAACACTTAGCGTACATCCCCGCGTACATCCACAAAGAGGGTGAAAAGCTCTAAAAGAGACTCTATATCGCAGTACACCTAAAAGTCTGGGCTTTTTAGTCACTTCTTTAAGAGGCTTCAATTTTCCTTGAAAAGAATCCATTGTAATTTTTATATGAGCTGTTTTTCCAGTGTTTTGTAGGATCGTACAGTTTTTCAGGATTTGGCTTTCGTTTTTTTTGAGTTATCTACTTTTAACAACAAAGGTAGGGTATAATGTAGGGAGTTCAAAACAGCGATTAGAAGAAGCTCTTTAATCTTTTTTCAAAAGGGAGATTGTGATGCAATTTTCTTTAAATCACAGATCGCAAGTAAAAGTTTAACGAATAGGGCTTCAAAACTTTATTTGTTTGATAAGAACATGGTTGACAGTTTTGGCTCGTTTTTTATAGTAATAGCATCATTACTTATTTAAGGGGCCGTCTTTTACGTGTTTCCGTGTTTGTTTATCTATGTGTTCTTGTAACGAAATTTATAGAAAGACTTTCAACAAAGGTTTCCAGCTGATTGTCATGTCACCTATGAATGTAGGTCTCGCATGCAAATTTTTGAGCGGATCCGATGCGTGGATCTCGCAAAAATTGCGCGTCAAACGAAACGGATAATACGTACAAAACTGATTCAGAATTTGAGTCTTTTTGCAATTCATGGATTTGTTTGACATGTAGATGAAAAACCGTTGACTTTATCTCAAAAATTAAGCTAACATGTTTTCGTGTAGAAACAGCGCCAATCAAGGTCTATGGAGTACGTCGTTGATTTTTTGAGCTTCCTACAGTGCTGGACATAATTATAGGGACACTCTAGAAATCGTCGTAATTTTCGTTCTTGTCAGTGAATCTGTCTGAAACTTTGCTATATGGTGCGCATGTAAGCCTACCATAACTCCTCAGAACGGCTTCCAATCCCGTTGATTCCGAACGGAGAAAAATGGAAAAATTCGAAAAAGCCTGTTTTGCAAGCTGGGCATAATCATAAGGACACCTGGCCTTTTTAAACATTATCGCATTCCTTGACTCCCAAATTTTTTTGTAGAGTTACATCCCAGAATATGAAATTTTGCAGCACCTAAGACCTGTCATGCTACTCAAGGAAAGATGATCCTTGCATTTTTCGTTTCCAAAGGCATCAGAAGTCAAACTGCGTCAACAAACAGCTGGTTTGAGGAGTTTTCAAACCCGCGTTCATTTCAAATGACAGTCCTGGAATACACTTAGCCTTTTTGATAGATAAGGTGAAGAGCGCTTTCGTAAACTCCGCGTAATCGCTGATATTGACAATCAGACTCCAACCTCACAATAGGGTTGTCGCGCTTTTGCACCACAAAACTCAAAAACTCAAAACTCGATTTTCAAGTTACAGAAAACGCTGCAATGTAGCCGAACAATACACGTACAACAATAAACTTGTGTGCCTAGTCAGGAAAAAAATTCGGGGTTGCACATTCTGGTTCAGCCGCAGTTGTCATCCGTTGAGAGTTGAGTCGAGCTCCCTGCACAATCATATCCAACTCAGATCAAGAAATCGAACAGGAGACCGCTTGAAACTTCAAAATCTTGCTTATCTCAGCTACCGCGCAAAATGCGACATGAAACAGAGAATAAAGTAGTGAGATTTGTGATTATGTTGAATCTACTGCTCGCATAGAATTTTCGTTGAAAGTATATCAGATCTATTGTAAATGGCAACTGCAGCACTAGAAAAAATCTAAAAGTTGTTGCAAAAGATGGGGTGGCGGGCAAGAGAAACGATAGCCCGCGCCAGCTGGTAGTTGCCAGCCGCCACAGCGCGCACGAAGCCATGCCCACACGCGAGAACCCGTACGCACGCATGGGTTGAGCGTTGCGTGTGTTAAAGGACGCTGCTACGGAGATTTTCGAAAATGAGCGGGCCTACTTCAGTCTCATGTAACGCCCACATTCATAGTATTTTACTATTTTCTCATATTTGCTGTGTTTTTTTCGTTTTTTCTTATGTTCTTCATCGTAATTGTCCTCCCTTACATGTTTTCTGTAATAAACAATTTATCAAGAATGTAGGGAATAATTCATTGTAGAAGGAGTTAAGAGTGCTTCTTCTGGCACATTATGGCAGAATTCATGTTTCACACATGACATGACTATCTCCATAAATCAGCCAGATCCAAAGCATCAGATAATCATAGAATTACTATCCAATTGATTAATGATTCTCTAGAATAACGCGGACGAATGCGATTCGTACGAGCTACTGTAGTTGATTGTAAACTCGTCTGCCGTGGATGGGCGGCGCCTAGCGTGCATAGGCTATTGACAGACCCCTCCGCCGCGCGCCCCTTATTGCCAGCTATCGTTTCTCTTGCACCACACCCCAAAAGATGCATCTCCATGTAGACAATGAAATAAATCGAGTCCATCACTTCACGAACATTGGAAAGTGAGTTTTGTGGTGCCAAAGCGCGACAACCCTATTGTGAGGTTGGAGTCTGATTGTCAATATCAGCGATTACGCGGAGTTTACGAAAGCGCTCTTCACCTTATCTATCAAAAAGGCTAAGTATATTCCAGGACTTTCATTTAAAATGAAGGCGGGCTTAAGAACTCCTCAAACCAGCTGTTTGTTGACGCAGTTTGACTTCTGATGCCTTTGGAAACGAAAAATGCAAGGATCATGTCTCCTTGAGTAGCATGACAGGTCCTGGTTGCTGCAAAAGTTTCATACTCTGGGATGTAACTCTACAAAAAAATTTGGGAGTCAAGGAATGCCATAATGTTTAAAAAGGCCAGGTGTCCTTATAATTATGTCCAGCTTGCAAAACAGGCTTTTTCGAAATTTTTCCATTTTCCTCCGTTCAAAATCAACGGGATTGGAAGCCGTCCGAGGAGTTATGGTAGGCTTACATGCGCACCATACAGCAAAGTTTCAGACAGATTCACTGACAAGAACGAAAATTACGACGATTTCTAAAGTGTCCCTATAATTATGTCCAGCACTGTATACAACATTCGTTCAGAAATATTAGGTCGGTGCAAAAGTTTTGTCAGGTTTTTCAATCCATCGGCAAACGCACTAGAATGGAGATAAACAAATGCTCCAAAATGTATACAATGCAGAATTTCTTGTGTTTCGTTGCGAGAGTGACGAGATATTTGCTGGAAATTACGACCACTCGTTTTTACCATGTCCAACTTCCACTAATTTCCAAAATTTTTGTATGGAACTTTCTGAGGAGCCCCGATGACCCCGGATATAGGGCAAATCCTTTGCCAAATTATGCAATTTTCTTCTTTTTTCAGCTGCTTTTTCAGATTTTTGCTAAATAATCTTCTTGAAGTCTTGTGTTTTGGAAAAATCGCATAAGCTGTTATTGCACCAAACACTGCAAAACCTACAATATGAGGTTTTAACACAGGATTATTACTACCGGTACCGGGAAAGCGTTGGAGGGTCCCGCACCGTCTAGCGGAGAATACTCGTCCGAACAAGGTGTTAGGGGAGCGAAAGGAGGAAGGGGAGCGGCGCTTGGGCCCCCTGGCTTGCAGAGTTCACATTTTCGGCGTGGAGTTGCTGTTTTGGTTCTCTTGGAAGGGTTTCCCATCCAGTGTCAAAATCTGAGGTAGGTCAATCTGCCGAGCCGCTGCCTTTGAACTATGTAGCGAAAAATGCATCGCCGAATTGTTCGGGTCACAGTTTTGCTTGGCCTAAGAGGTTTTCAACGTCCTGAACACCAAAATGGTACCATACCAAAGAATTAAATTGACTCAGAATGTTTTTTTTTGCTTTTTTGTTATATTAGATTTTTTTGTTATACTATACGTTTTTTTATTTTTTTGTTATACCTCAAAACTCGCTTTTTTCGCTTTTCTATCGTTGTGTTTTGTAATGTTGATTGAACAAGAGTTACCCTACTAACTTTTGCGTCAAAAAGGATTTCGCGAATTTTCGCGAATTCATAGGGGACTTCGTTTCCAAAAATGCTCCAAATCAAAGCATGCCGGGCCCTGTTTGCCAGTCTTTGTTCATTACGTAGGATTTAGATGCAAACTCTCAAAGT